ATTTTTGTATTTTTAGTAGAGACGGGGTTTCACCACGTTGGCCAGGCTGGTCTCAAACTCCTGATCTCAGGTGATCCACCTGCCTCAGCCTCCCAAAGTGCTGGGATTACAGGAGTGAGCCGCCATGTCAGGTCATGGTCTAGCATTCTCAAAGCTGGAGGGTATCCCTCCTCATTCCAACTAATTGCAACTCTTGGGCGATCAAAGAGTCTTGCTTATTGTGTTTGGTAGTGGTTTCTGCCGAGACACTTGGGGAACGGGTTCTCCAGAATCAGAGCAGCTGGGTTTGTAAAGGGCAATTTTTGATGGCACAGCAACTTGCTGAGGGAACAGCAAGAATTCTTGAATTCTTCACTCACTCTGAACCAGGGTCTGAAGGTGGATCATGTGTACAGTGACCACACAATTTGTGGTCCGAGCTGAGATAATTTTGAGAATGAATGGAAGTGCTATGAATAATGACACCAGTGCAACAGGGGTCCCTGAGATTGCCGTTCTGTTCTTCCTCACGTGTGCCTGATCTTTTTAGGGGTAGTGTTCGGTGATTAGTCTGACAGTTTCTTCTTCCTTTTTCTTTTTTTGGTTTAAAGACAGAGTCTCACTCTGTCACCTAGCCTGGATTGCAGTGGCACAATTATAGCTCACTGTAGTCTTGAATTCCTGGGCTCAAGCAATCCTCCCATCTCAGCCTCCTGAGTACTTGGGACTACAGGCAAGCCACCACCACACTCAGCTAACTTTTAAAAATTTTTTGTAGAGATGGGGTCCTGCTATGTTGCCCAGGGTGGTCTTGAACACTTGAGGACTGAGCTCAAGCAATCCTCCCACCATGGCCTTTCAAAGTGCTAGGATTATAGGTGTGAGCCACAGCACTCAGCCTGACAGTTTTCTTATGTCCTCCCAGGAAAACCTAGGAAGTTCTCATGTGAATCCCATGCCTGCTGAACTGCTCAGATAAAACAAAAATAGTAGCTAACATTTACATAGCACTTACCATATGTTAAACACTGTTCTGTGTGTTTTGCATTTGTTAGCTTATTCAATCTTCCCAATCCCATGAGACTGGTATTCTATTTTTGTTTCCATTTTACAGATGGAAAAATAGGAACACAGAGGTTAAACAGCTTGTCTAAGCAGCAGAGCCAGGATTTGAACCAAAGAGGCTCCAGAGCCTGTGCATATGAACACTGCACCATGCTGCCTCTGCCCCTCAGCCTTATAATTTAGTTCCAACCAACATTTATCAAGGACCTGCTATGTGCCTGGATGTGTGCTGGGTACTAGTGGTGCCAAGTCTAATGGACATGATGCCTTCTATGGTTCAGTTCCCTATCAGAGAAGATGAATGAGGCCTGCCCTTGTACTGGGAAAATAATCTCTAGGGTGTCCTGTGGGCAGGGCCAGCTATACCATCATGCAACGTGCAGATTTACATTCAGCTCACAGGTTATCGTATTTGGATGGCTACTGCTGAATGACCTTAGTTCTCAGTTCTCAGACTTTTGCGTTATGGGTTGTCCTTTGAACCCATAATTAAAATCTTTCAATCAGAGGAAATGCTCCCAAAGCAATGTGCACTATTTATGAAACTACCAAGGGAATGTTCTCAGTAGACAAGGAAGGTTAATGAGAACACACTGGTGGCTTCGTTTGTGACTGCCTCTTGGCAACCCCATGCTGTTACCCCCATCTTGTTTTAGAGGTACACCAAACATCTTGTTTTGGGGACTTTGCAGAAAGAAGAGGGGAGCAGACTGTCCAGGGACAACAGTTTTTCCATTTATTTCCTTAAGAAGTACGATGTATAGGATGGCGATGTGCAATTCTACCTTACTATGGTTTCTTCTAAGAATTCATGATGTTGAAACACAGGCGTTTGAATAAAACAAGGGGAAGGTTTTCATCTTGGCGAGGTACAAGAGCTTTTTTTTTTTTTTGGCACAAGCACATCTGTGAGAAACAGAGCGCTTATTGTTCAGCATATCAGGGCTCTGTGCTGGTCAAGGAAATGCTGATGAAGTACTTATGCTCAGTGGAGGGGTGAGGAGTGGGAGGTCCTCATGAGATGAGTTTATTTAGCCTGCCCTTCCAGACAGCCTTCCAACCGTGTAAAGACGATGGTGTATGTGTGCATGCCTGTGTGTTTAAGATTAGAAATATTACAGAAATGCACAAGCCCTCGTGCCCTGACTGTCCCTAGTTCATGGAATTGTTTGCCTGCTTTGGTTCACATCGTGCTGCACTATGTACAAAGCGCACGAACATACCCTGTCTCAGCCAAGATTGTTTTATTTGAAAAACTTTGAAGGAAGTTAGGATGTTAAAACAGTGTGTTTCCAAATAGGGCATTTCTCAAGCACGGCTTTCCCTAAATGAAGGAGTATGTAGTGTGTTGAAGCTAACTTGTTATCAAACCAAGTTGACCATTGTTCATTGAGTGCCCATTTGATGAGGGTCCGTGTATTGAGCACTCGGCAGGGGTTGGGGATTGGCTGGTGATTAAATGGATCATACCACCTTATACTGACTCACGGAGGTGGGTGATCATTAGCCGTTTTACAGATGGGGAGAGTGAGACTCGGAGAGAGTAGACAACTTTTTCTAAAGTAGTAGAACCAGGATCCAAGCCCAAGCTGGTCAGGCAGCAAAAACTAGACATGGGATTACCATGTTTTCTCCTGCACATGCTGAAGGGACCTTTAGATGAAGTTCCCACAGATAGGTTCACATTCAAATTAATGAACTTTACACCTGGGACTGGAAATTCCTAGAGGATCGGGTAAAGTGTGTGTGTGTATGTGTGTGTGAGAAAGAGAGACAGACATTTGCTAATACAGATTAAACATAGTCATAAATCTTAATAGATTTATTCTCCACACTTTATTTTATTTTATTTTTGAGGCAAGGTCTAACTCTGTCGCCCAGGCTGGAGTGAAGTGGTGTAATCATGGCTCATTGCAACCTGGACCACCCCAGGCTCAGGAGATCCTCCTTAGTAGCAAGGACTACAGATGGGCACCGTCAAGCCCAGCTAATTTTTTTATTTTTTATTGTAGAGACAAAGTTTTGCCATGCTGCCTAGGCTGGTCTTCAACTCCTAGGCTCAAGCAACCCTCCCGCCTTGTCCTCCCAAAGTGTTAGAATTACAGGCATGAGCCATCTCACCTGGCCCTCCACAGTTTATTATAACATTTTTCATACGGATAACAACGTTGAATGAATTATATAGTGAACACATATACAATGGAGTGTCTGCTATTAATATTATACTAAAGCGATTTTTATCTAGCTATTATCAATCATCTATTTATCTCTCTAATTTGTCTATTCATCTATCCATCTATGAGTCTATATTTTTGATGCATTTCAAAGTAAATTGCAGACATCAATACACTTAACCCTAGGTACTTCATAATGCACATATATAACTAAAGTTTAATATATGTTTACAGTTTTTTTTTCTTTTGATGTGGGATGTACATGCAATGAAATGCACCGGTCTTGAGTACATATTTACAGAGTTTTGATAAATACTGTGTAACTCAAATTTCTCTCAAGATGTAAAATGTAACTATCACCCCAGAAGGTTCCCTCACACCCTTTCCCAGTCAATTTCTGCCTCTCTCCAGCCCCACCCCTCCAGAGACAACCACTGTTCTGACTTTTCCACCAACGACTCTTTTGTGTGAGGCTTCTTCCATTTAGTATAACGTTTTGACATTTATCCGTATTGCTGTGGGTAATGTTGTTTATTCCTTTTACTTGCTGATTGATATTTCATTGTATGAATATTCTATAGTTTGTTTATTCATTTTTTTGTTGATGGACTTTTTCTAGTTTTTGGATTTCATGGATAAAGCTGTTCTGAATATTATTGCATAAATCTTTCTGTAAATATATGTTTTTGTTGCTCTGGGTAAATGCCAAGAAGTAGAATTGTTGGGACAAAGGGTAGATACATGTTTATTTGTGTAAGTAACTATCAAAACTTGGCACAGTGGCTCCGCCTTTCCAGTCCCACCAACAATGTATGGTTTTGCTCCATGCCCCTGTTGGTGTTTAGAGTTATCTGTCCTTTTTAATTTAGCCATTCTGGTAGGTGTCTAGGTAGAAAATTGATGTTGATGACAATGGCAATAGTTATGATAGAGTGATAGATACCTCTCTGTAGCAAATTGCTGTCGATATTCCTTAGATTTCACTTGGAAGCTCATCATTTTGGCTATTGGGTCTGCTCTTAACTCTCTAAGTACCCACTCTAATGTTTTCTGATTGACAGATGGAAGTGCTCCCGGGCAGTACTGATTTTCAGGCTAATGCTCCTACTACAATCAGCTCACTTAGGGCTTCTTTGTGCAGTCTGGATGTCAGCTTTAACCCTTTGACAGTTCTTCGCTTTACTTCTTTGTCAGACAAACTTCTTAAGCCAGATTGCAATTTCTCTTCTTTTTCAGAGTTTTCACCTGGCAAAACGTTGATGATTTAAATGTCAAAAGAGGCAGACTCCAAATAAAATGCTGAACAAACAATTTTGAGGACTTAGACCTTTCTTTTCTGCCATTACTACTTCTCAAGCTGCTTCTAATTCCCAGAGAATGGGATGGAAAAAATGAGGTAGGGGTTGGAAGGACAGGCCTCTGCTCTTACGTGTGCAGCTATGCTTCTGGGTCTCTTCATTCGTGTTGATTGAGTGCCTTGAATTTCTGGGGCCTCAGTTTCCTCACTTGTAGAACAGGGCGGTTGGAAGAAATGGCATTTAGGACTTTCTGAAATTTCAAAACTAACTTTCTATGTTGTTAGAAGTTAAGAAATTTCTTAAAGCTTGGAGGTGAAGATACTGCTTTAAAAAATTATAAGTAATTCTTTAATATTTCCTACACCTTCTCCAATGGCTTAATAATAACCTGATATATTCATGGAAACAGGTCTCACTTTTATATTTTGATTTAAGGGTTTCCTTAATTATGCCATTTACTGTTTTCAGATGCTGCAGTTTCACTCCGGTAGGATTCAGTCTCAAACTGCAGAGGTACTGGGTAAGCTGGTATTTATTTTACATTTGTTCTGGGATTCTTTCAGACAGACTGGATGTTTGCACTGGACTCATTGACTTTTTCCCCACCACTTACACTGTCATTCTATGCTATTCAGTTGTATTTTATAATTGGGTAGTTGCAGTGATGAGAAAGAAAAGTATGAGAAATGATGTTCAGGTGGGCTGCAGTACTCTGTCTGTAGGCAATCATTGTGAAGCAGGAAAGAAGGGGATGGGAATAGCTGGAGAGAATTGGCTTAAGGGGAAATAGCCCAAATCTCAGTCAAAACAAGATAAACGTGGAAGAGATAGAATCTCCTGATAAAGGTGTGTTCCCTTGCACTGCCACTAATGCGCGGGAGCATTAAATGTGCGGGAGATTTTCTGGGGTTGTTATTCCCTGCAGTCTCAGGCAGAGAAAGTATCCCGGTCACAGAGGAAACCTTCAACTACAGACAAACCACAGTCCCCAAATCCTTTCAAGCTATAAGGTTTCAAGCACGAAATTCTTGAGCAAACACACCAGGTGCCTCTCTGCATTGATTGTGATTTTTGGTGCTAAACAGAGAGCATTGCAGATGATGCTGAAGGTCAAATGAAGGTGGAGAAACCGCAAAACAGCACGACGCGCCACCCAACTGCAAGCTAATTGGGAAGGAAATGGTTTCAAACTGACAGACTGTGGCCTGATAACCGAAATCTCATAGGGACAAAAGGTTCGTGTCATTTAAAGGGGTAGCTTTGCCTATTTAAATTGTGCAAACAAAAGAAATGAAAACCCCCTCCTGGGATGGGAAGTTCTATTAGCAGATATTACCATCCTTGCTTTTATGCCCTCCTGTGTCACAAGCCCTGAACATGTGCTGCGTGTCCTCAGGCATTCATTGGTTAATTTACTTATTCAAAGTAAGGCAACAACAACAAAAAAGCAACAGAAAAACCCCAAACAAATTACATACTGGGGCACAGACAGCATTAAGATGCAGTGCACAGTTTTGATATGTGGGCTTTTAAAAGAAATGTGTTTGGTCTGAAATTGTACATATGTTAAACTCTGGAGAAAGTAAGACGCCTCCTACAGTGGTTCTTCTGGGAATTAAAAAAAAAAATTCTTTGAAGGTATGACTGTATTGAGAACCAGGGGTATTTGATATATAATATCAGGTACTCCATTGTGGCCAACAACAGTCAGTTTGGACTTGACTTTAATCAATGTTCCAGTAAAGGCACAGGAGAAGGCCAATTTTTCTATCATATGGATATGGTAGAAGTTAATTATATACTTAATTATATCCTTTGGTTTTGAAGTTTTTATGGAATTACTTCCAAAATAACCTTGTGTAATATATTCCCTTATATTTTAAAGCTGAGTTGTAATGAGTGAAATAATACAAAATAATATTTTAAACTTGGCATTCAGTTGAGTCTTCAAAAGAAACCATTTGACAAGCTATGATGACAATACTTTGGGGTTGACAAGGCCTACATTTTGCTAATGGGAATATTAAAGTGTAGAAAGATTAATGAAGATATTCATGTCATGAGAGAAGCTGAGGTAGGGTTCCAACCAACCTTTTTCTCTTGTCTCAAAGATTAATTAATGAGTTTTTTTCTGTCATGGACTCTGATAGTACCCGTGTATTTTGTGTATCTTAATGTACTTATTAGTTCAGCATCTGTGACATCATAATATTTCACTTTGGTTTGATGACAAGTACTTGTGTTTGAAAGAAATAAATATGAGCTAGAGTAAGAAAATGGTAAATTCACAGTTACTTCCCATTTTATGCTTCCGAATGGAACATTCTTTCCAGAACAATGCTACTACTAATACTAATAAAAAACAACCTTAAAGTAAAAAAAAGACTTGTTGCTATTGTAAAAAAAAATTGACACAATTTCCTTTGTGATTTATCTTTATTACATAATCATTGCTTCACAAGATTTCCCAAACTTGAGAGCATTAGACTCAAGAAACCTAAAGTAACCTGTAATATTTATTGTATTTAAAGGACTTTCCCATCCAGTTTAGCAGGCATGACAGGTCCATGGCACTTATGGGAAAGCTCTGGTCCATTTGAAGTTATCAATTGACCTACAGAACATTTAGAAACATACCAGTGATTGGTAAGTAAGCTTTTCTTAGGTAGCTATGATTTGGATGGCTGGCATGTGAATGCTAGCATTCCCATGAGAAATACGGGTTACCAGGCAAATTGAGTTTTATTAAACTCTGAACTCTGAGATGAGTACCAACTCTACATGCCAAAAAATAGTTATTTGAGGGAAAACTTTCCTGCCCTAAATTTCTCTCCTACCAATTTATCATAGTAGCAGAAATGACCAGTATTCACAGCCATTTCTTTGGTTTAAGGCTCTCTGTCCAGAAGGTCTCTATTAAAATGCAAATATGTTACTCAGAAAGGACTACTCATCAATCCATTTGCACTTCAGGAAGGATTAGTTTATCAGATCAGAGGAGAGAAAATAAGACCCCAAGGAACAGGAGATAGAAAGCCTAGTCTGATTGGAAAAGAGGCTGGGTAAAGTATTTTCAACAGGCCCTTTGCTGTCTTGACTATGGGGCCTTTGTGAATTTATCTTCTATTGCTTTAAATACACCCTTGCTGCCATTGAAATTCAACTCTGCCTCAACTGTCCACTTCAATTCTTATCTTTTCTCTGCAGTATTTTTGAGCTACCTAGAAAGAAGTAAGCTCTCCTCCATCTGATTTCCTCACGTTCATTACCTGTATCATTCATTAGTCAAATCTTGTCTTTGGGGTGGTGTGATGGCTCATGCCTGTAATCCCAGCACTTTGGGAAGCAGAGCTGGGAGGATCTCTTGAAGACAGGAGTTCAAGGTTGCTATAAGCTGATTGTGCCACTCCAGCATGGTTGACATAACGAGACCCTGCCTCTAAAAAAAAAAAAAAAAAAAAAAGAGACAGGTGCAGTGGCTCATGCCTGCAATCACAGTGCTTTGGGAGGCTGGTGCTCCTCCTGGGAGCACTTGAGCCCAGGAATTTGAGACCAGCCAGGGCAACATAGTGAGACTCTTGGCCCTATTTTTTAAAAATTTGAAAAATGAAAAAAGTAAAAAAGAAAAAAAAAAGAAAACAAAAAAACCTTATCTTTGTTGTAGACATTCTTTCATTTGTACACATCTTATTCACCAACTTTATAGTCAGCTCCCAGAGCGCTCAGGAACCAAGTTAGTGATCTGAGGGACGAGAGAAGCTAACTTGGGTGAGAGCGGAGAGCAGCGACTGCTGCCTGTTCCTGAAGTATCCTGGGTTCTGTCATGATGCTTTTACCTGGATTCTTCCCTTTACCTCTTTCCTTTGGATTAGTGACTTTCTGGCTTTGGTTTTGGTTTTAATGTTCAGGTAGTCCTTAACCCCTTGATCCAGAGGCCACACACACTGTTACTTGTCAAGGCCTGAATCACTGCAGAGCCATTTTGCTAGTAAGGTGGCTGTTCCTTCATTCTGGTAGGCAGGTCTGTGCAATGAATGGATGCAGGTACCAGTACCACTCTGGGAATCACTATACCTCTTGCTCCTTGGTCATATAAAGGGGTATTCTGGCTCTAGCAGGACACTAGGTATCAGATTCTGGCTTGCAGGTCAATGCTGTGACAGAATCATGTCATTGGAAAATAATCCAACTTCTGGTTAGCAGGTATCGCGACTCAACCAACCCAAGGCCTGGTTAAAAAAAAAAAGTGAAGATTAGGGACCAGGAGACAGGAAGATCAGTCAGCTGGTTACAAAATTCTGGGATGCAATAAGCTTTGATGGGAAGCCTGTGTTGTTGATGCATTGTTTTTAAAATTTCTTATCTGGGTCATGTAGCCATGGCCCTCTTCAGCTGATTATATAGTAAGCTGTTGATACCTTATACTTCTTGATATTCTGTTAGATCACTCAAGATTGTTTGGTTGCATGCAAGACAATGACTTGGGTAACCTAACTAAAGAGAACATTTAAGGGCTTTGTAAATAAAAAGCTAGGGATAAAATTTTAGATGCAGCTTAATCCAAGACTCCAAATGCCAGTAGAACCACGTCTCTCCCATTTTCACTTCTCCTCTCTTCTGGGTTGACGTTATTCTCAGGCCCAAAGATAAACACCATCAGTGTCTGGCTTAGGTGGTTCTTACAGCACATGGTTGTGTAGCAGAAGGAAAATACTCTTTGTCACTCTCTCACTTTTCATAGCAATCCCTAGAAAGGGCTCTCATTGGTCTTACTTGGGTCACATAGTTGTCTATGCAGATAGGCCAGCCTGACTTGCAGGTCTACCATTTGCTGAGGACAGTGTTTTCTTTTTATTGACAACCCTGCCAGAGCTGCAGGGAAGAGGGAAGAGGCAGTCTTACAAAGAAACTGATATAGGGAACCAACAAAGTAACAATGTCCAAATCACCCCACAAATGCCTTCACCTTATAGGTACTTAACTAATGTGTGTTGATAATGATGATGAAGTATTTGCAGGAAAAGCAAGACTAGGGATCCAAAGAGGGGGATTCTGGGCATCTGGGGGCACATGAGGGTGCTGCTGGGGGTGTGGGAAAGGTCAAGGGCACTGAAAATGAGAAAAATTTTGCTCCAAAAGGAGGCTGGGAGCTAGGCACCTGTAATCCTATCACTTTGGGAGGCTGAGGTGGGAATTCGAGACCAGCCTGGGCAACCTAGTGAGACCTGTTTCTACAAAAAAAACCAACCCAACCCAAACCAAAACAACCAAAAAGAGGCTTGGGTGAGGGATGTTGCTCATAGTGAAGATCCAACCTTTTTAATTTCACACTTTTGCCTGTGGCTGACGCTGACTGACAGGAAAGTATTTGCTGAGCCAAATGACTCTATAAAGATAACATGCTTTCCAGCAATTTCCTTTTTGGGGGGATGGGGTGACATGGCACACTTCCTGGTTTTGATAAATCACCCCAGATAGCAGGAGGCTTTCGTTTGCTTATATGCTAGATCAATGTAAGGTCTCAAACTGTGTATTCTAATTAGCAATGCAAACCTCCAGAGAATCATCTCTTACTCTAAAGAAAATATTGTGTTGATCTAGTAGAGTATTCTCATAAGCTTTGTTTTTCCTCATCCCTTTACTGAGTTCTTTAGATGTCCAAGCTGACTGAGAAAGCCACTCTTTAGAAAGTAGAATCTGATGTTGAGATCTCTTTATTAATAAACGTAGGCCCAATGGTTGCAGAATTCTCTTCTATGTTTAATGGCCCTTTATTAATTAGTCCTCAGCATCATAGAAAGAATAAAAATCAGACTATGGTTCTATGGGAGGAGGAAAAAAAATATCTGTTGGGACAATCTGAAGTATTGAGACTCATTTTTTTTTTTTTGAGACAGAGTCTTGCTCTGTCGCCCAGGCTGGAGTGCAGTGGCGCGATCTCAACTTACTGCAACCTCTGCCTCCTGGGTTCAAGCAATTCTCCTGCCTCAGCCTCCTGAGTAGCTGGGATTACAGGCACCCACCACCACGCCCGGCTAATTTTTTGTATTTTTAGTAGAGAGGGGTTTTCATCATGTTGTCCAGGATGGTTTCGAACTCCTGACCTTGTGATCCGCCCACCTCAGCCTCCCAAAGTACTGGGATTACAGGCTTGAGCCACTGTGCCTGGCCTTTTTGTTTGTTTGTTTGTTTGTTTTTTGAGATGGAATCTTGTTCTGTCGCCCAGGTTGGAGTG